CGCGTCATTGCTTATGCCAGTCGCCTCCTTTCTCTTTCGGAGAGCAAGTTTTCCATTACAGAGCGTGAGTGCCTCGCAATAGTCTGGGCAGTCGGAAAATTTCGACCATACTTGTTTGGCCACACCTTTTCGGTAATTACAGATCACCATGCCTTGTGCTGGCTGTCGTCCCTTAAAGATCCAACAGGACGACTTGGCCGTTGGGCCTTGAAACTACAAGAATACAGCTTCGACGTGGCATACAAATCTGGCCTAATGCACCAGAATGCCGAATGTCTATCCCATCACCCCTTGGACCCACCTGACCTTTCAGCACATGACTCTGACCCTTGTGTCTTCGCCATGTCGGCTTTCACCTACATACGCAAGGAACAGATCAGCGATGCCCACTTGTGGTCTGCCATGCAGAGTCTACGTTTGCCTCACGTAGACCCGTCGCTACACTTGTTCGTTCTACGCGATGGCATTCTTTACCGACGCAACACCAGCGCTGAGGAACCAGAGCTACTACTCGTAGTTCCTGTGACACTCCGTTCCACTGTTCTTGAACAACTTTACGACGCCCCAACCGCGGGACATCTCGGGGTCATGCGCACGTACGATCGCGTGTGGCGTCGATTCCTCTGACCAGGCCTTTACCGTTCTGTGCGCCGATACGTTGCTGCATGTGAGTCCTGCCAGTGCTCCAAACATTCTACCTGGCCAACAGCTGGTCCGCTCCAGCCAATAGACATACCCACCGTTCTCTTCTACCGCGTTGGTCTTGATCTCGTTCAACCATTTTCTACTTCTGTCACTGGAAACAAGTGGATAGCCGTAGCCACTGATTACGCCACAACATACGCTATCACACGAGCGCTACCGACAAGCTGTGCCACTCACGTCGCGGACTTCGCCATGACGTAATTCTTCATCATGACACTCCTCGACAGCTGCTAACTGATCGTGGTCACTCATTTCTTTCAAAAGTAGTAACAGCCTTCGCTCGTGTTCGACGCATCACAAGCTCAGTACGGCCTATCACCCACAAACAAATAGTCTTACCGAGCGCCTAAATTTAACATTGACAACAATGCTCTCCATGTACGTTTCCAAAGATCACCTTGATTAGGATGGTACTTTGCCTTATGTGACATTCGCGTACAATTCGTCACGCCACGACACAGCTGGCTTCTCCCCCTTCTATTTATTGTTCGGCCTCCATCCAGCGTTACCCTTCGAGACTCTACTCCCATCAACTACGCAAACGGTTACAGAGTACGCCCGGGATACCCCTGCTCGGGCTCAAGTGGCCCACCAAATCGCACGGGAACGTCTTCTTGGCTCGCAGCTTTCTCAGAAGGCCCGCTACGATTGCCATCACAGAGTAGTTTTTTACTCTCCAGGTTCATTGGTCCTCCTCTGGACACCATGCTGCCACGTTGGCCTCTCTTCGAAGCTCCTGTCTCGCTACTCGGGGCCTTACGAGGTTTTACTCCGTCTTACCGATGTCACATACGAGATTGCCCCGTTGGACAGTAAGTCATCGTCGTCCGCACCCACTACTGATGTCGTCCACCTGACCCGCCTCAAACCGTACATATCCGCATATGACCCTACTCTCCTTTAGGCACCGATATGGCGCTGCCAGCAGCGGGGGGTTACATGTTACATGACATCGGCCACGAAAGAGCATCATAGACCACGAAGACGATGAAAGCGACCGTGCTCGTGTTGTTGTTGCTGCTGTTCTTCCATCTTGGCTGCAGCTGCCTGTGACTCTCCCTATATAATTTGTAAATATATTTATATAATTCATTCTCTCACCCCCGTAACAATATAAACAAAAAACAATGTTTGAACTAGGGACAAAAAGTTCATCCGATTGGAGTGTTTGAGTGAATCAACCATTCGTCCGGCAAAGTGCAACTGGGAGGACTAATGGTTGCCCAGTATGGTGTAAATGTGGGGATTAGCAGTTGCTCTTTAAGGTGCAAATGTGACAACTAAATGTTAGTCATTTGAGGTGAATTGTGGGACTAACAGTTACTCACTAAGGTGTCAATGTGAGGACTAAATGTTAGTCGTTTGAGCTCGTCTATGGGGACTAACTGTTAGACCCGGTGCCGTTAATCCTAAAAGAAATTAATGGTTGCGACAGCCCCATTAGTCCCCAAAAGGACGAACCACACACCCTTTAACACCCTTTTGCCTTAGGGTGTTCCAAAAAAATTGCGAATAATGACACACACGAAACATCTCAAGCACTTCCCATTGCTCACTGGAATTGAGTAATGCGTTACGGCATGCAGCTCAATTTCCAGGAATATATTCGGCAACATGATGATTATTCTACTGAAGTTTTACGTGCCTAAGCCCATATGTGGCTGTGAGGCACGGCAAGCTATAATTTTGAGACAAGTGGGTACACTTGCGCATTTAATCGTTCACCTTAATATAACTAAGAACACGGGTTTTTTTAGAATTTCGCACCCACAAAAATACGGCGATGCCGGCCAGGATTTGAACCTGTGCGCTTTCTTATCTACGGGACAACTGAAGTGCTTTATAAGGCTACCTTTCTGGCTACTCACTAACAATATCAAGAATGCCTTCCTCCAATATATCGCTTACAACAACAACACGAACAATAATAATAATAATAATTATAATAATAATAATAATAATAATAATAATAATAATAATAATAATAATAATAATAATAATAATAATAATAATAATAATAATAATAATAATAATAATAATAATATAATATATAATAATTGTAATTCATTATTATTAAAAACGCTACATGTTGGGATGTTACGTGAAAGCAGCCACAGTGCTTTAGAGGTTGTCCTGCTTGACAGCATACGCGAACGTCCTGGGATGTATTTTAAGCGCAAATGCCACGTTTCGGTGTAAGCGACGTGCTCGAGAACCATGTTGTCACATTTAGGTGACCGTTATTGATTTAAGGTTTTCTGTCGAAATTTCTGCAGCCGTCTACGATGGCGTCCGTTATCGTTATGTCGTGATTTTGAGAAATAAACCCTGCAAACTTAATATCTATGTATTGTACGCACTGAAACCCCCGAATGATTCTCAGGCTGGCCGTAGAGAATAATTCGGGACCACTTATGGTTCTCGTTAACGCACATCCGTTTCAAAGCATGGGAACCTCCAAAGCCGCCTCTACGGAAAGGCAACCGCGGCTGCAGTATCGGCCCAGAGTCTGTCGAATAAGCAGCATGCTAATAACATGGTTTCATAGTTCTTTCAATGAATATATTTTTGGTTTTTCGTTTTTTCCAATTAGTTTGAAGTAGGTCACTGAACATTTAAGACAGCTGTTTCGCAGAAACAATATAGCGCATAAAGTGTATGCCACGCCAGTTTCTATAAAAGTTCGCAAGCTCTGAAACAAAGAGTGTAGAAGCTATAAGCAACCGACAAGCAATGGAAATGAGTTCTCCGGATGTCCGCAGGGTGCCCATGGTGCTAAACGGGCGGTTGTCTTTTATTCCCTTTCGCGACCCACACTCTGAATGCAATTTAAGGGTCGACACGCTGGATTACATTACGCGTTTATCTGAAGAAAATATTATTCCCACACATTTACGGGAGGTTGTTACTTTTTGACAGCAACTATTTTGAGTCCTTCAGCGGGTTTTCTTATCGGCTCCACTGTCAACACCCGCATAAGGTTGAAATTGATGATATCGCCATGAGCATGATATGTTCAGTGGCCTCCTAAAAGCGCTAGTTTGCTGGAAGGGAACGCGGATAAGGCAGGTATTCAACAAGCAGGTAATCTTTTTCGCACTAAAGGTGCATGCGAGGCTTGCCGGTGATGTTTCATCCAGCGCAGAGGAAACGCCCCATCGGTATTTCTCGATGCGAAGCACCATGAGGGGGCGCTATTGGCTGCCGGAGATTCAAGTTACTGTATATGCTACCTAAAGGTAGCATCTACAGTAATTTTACCGTAGACTAAAGCCCCCATATTTACCATAGAGTTACCTAAAATTAACTAGAGAAGACTCTGGTGCTGGGATGGTTCAGTGACCATGGAAATGATAGGTAGTACACGGATTAGCCTAGTCTTCGTATTTGCAGATGGCGAATCACACTTGTGGCTTCCTTTATCGCTGTGTTTGAATTTCGTTTCAAAAGAAAGAACGAATTCTTTTAAACTTGGTGACCCGATTTGGAAACGTAGGCCTAAAAGAATAGGGTGGCGAAGCGCAACCACTGAACAATTGCTGACTTCTGTTTCGTGAAATAACAGCTCCAAGCCACACGAACACACACAAAGTCAGAAGTACGAAGATTAGACAAATCCGTGTACTACACATCATGGCCATGCTCACTGAAGCGCCGTGCGTTGCAGCTTCCATTCACACTAGCGCAAAGTGTATAATTAGGAGAGGAGACTTTATCATGTTTACTGGAAACGGGGGGAAGATGATGTGGAAGGACAGAACGTGCGTCGCGTTCTATTAGTGATTGTGAACTATCATAAAAAGCAAGCAATTATAACCATTGTCAGATGGCTCGTATATGTGATTCACTCTCACCACATCGCTTTAGGATGACAAATAAAACGCAAAGTCGTTCACGTCCTGGATTGGCACTGTTTACTTAAACCAGCCGGTAGAGTCTGTGTTGAAGTTACGCAAGATCTTATACCAGCCTGTTGTCGAGCTACTCGAGAACGAAACCAAAATAATTACATATTAGCGTTACGTGCTGTAATATTTAAATCTGTTGCTGTCACATTCACTGTTTCACGCTTGCGGCTTTTTTAAATGTAGTGCTTTTTTAATAACCCAAACTTCCAAGTTTATTAACGTCAACTTCATTTGGTAAACATTTCAGCTCTACCATGCAATACGTACGCCGGCGTATTACGGGTTATATCTCAGTTGATAAGTGCAGTATTTGGTTTTATGAGCAATAAAGAAACAAAGTATCGAGGAGCGGCAACTGCTTAAAGCAGCTTCCATATATAAACTTACAAAGCACACTCTTGCTTATTATTGTCTTCGAAGAGGCTTCGCAAAACGCTGAAAAATAAAGAAAAAACAACTGGCAGTGTTTATAATCCTCAGCACTCACATGGTGTCTTACCGAAATATTCTTTAACAAGAATACAGAAGCGATTCAAGAACTGATGATGAACTGGTTAAGGTACAATTATAGCATCAATGATTGAGATGTGAGGTTTAACGTCCCAAAACCACCATATGGTTATGAGAGACGCCGTAGTGAAGGGCTCCGGAAATTTCGACCACCTGGGGTAAGACGTCATGCTACAGATTAAACAGCAAATCATAGACTACCCCACAAGATCCACGCGAGCCATACTGGTTCTGGATCTCGAGAAAGCATTTGACAATGCAGTTCATGAAACAATTCTGAGCCGCATATCGAGCTTAAACATGGGTGAGGGAGCCCTTATTTACGTCAGAAACTTCTTGACCAACAGGAAAACAAGGCTCACCTTAGGAGGCCTTACATCTGATCTCCGAAATTTGGGTTGCAGAGGCACTTCACAGGGCTCCGTAATATCGCCAGTGCTCTTTATTCTAATCATGATTGGACTACCAAAAAAGTTAAATAAAATCCTGAAATTATATCACTCCATCTACGCGGATGGCATCGCAATATGGGTCAGTGACGGCAACAATGGCTAATAGAACAGAGACTCCAAGAAGCAATAGGAACTGTTGAGCGATACTTGGAAGGCACACAACTCACATTCTCCCCGGAGAAATCAAAACTTCTTCTCTACAAGCCAGCAATCAGAGGCAGACCACCCAAGTCAGAGGAAAATAAGCGGCAATATGAGGAAATTAGGATTCATACACAGGAGGGCACAACTATACCGAGAGTTCCAAAAATACGAGTACTGGGATTAGTCATCGAGGCTAATGGTGCCAACGGCGAGACTACACGCAGACTAAACGCCAAAGTCACGAATGCGATGAGACTGATTCGCAGGGCCACGAATATACACCGTGGTATGAAAGAAGCCCCCGTAATTTGTCTAATCGAGGCCTTCGTCATATGTAACATAACGTATGCAGCATACCACAACTGGGAAAAGTTGAAACTAACAAAATAAATGCACTCATGTACAAACAAGCGATAGGAATACCTGAGTATGCTAGCACAGACCTTTTTTTCAGCTAGGACTACACAATAAGCTTGAAGAGATTATTGAAGCTCAGCGCATATCCCAGCTTGAAAGGCTCACTAAAACCAAAACGGGAAGAAATAAAATGATGTACCATGCACAACATGGTGTCAAACATGACATCCCCAATACAGTCAGAGCTAAGATCGTCTCTAACCCGATACCGAAAAACAGGAACCCCATTATCAACACGGACTGCAGAAAACACCGAGCAAAAGCACTGCTCAAAGCACATGGCACGAACAGTAAATTTCTTTTTGTAGATGCTAGCTCATACTCTGAACTAAAAGCTCACACTACTGTCGTGATTGACACGTCCAGCATTTGTAACACTGCGTGCTCTGTCATAACAAACAATATAGATTAGACTGAGGAGGTAGCCATAGCCATGGCTATTGCTTCCAACAAACACTCCTTTATACTGATTCGCAAGTAGCAATCAGAAATTTTACGCAAGGGTGGAATTCACAGCAAGCCCCCAGAATCCTTGTTAATATCCAAGAACTAAACAAAGTAGATGAACCCAAATACCTCGTATGGTTCCCGGCGCACACAGAGACTGATACACCCAATCCTAACGAGCTGGCTCGTGAGTTGTCACGAGAATTAACCCGCCACACTACTCAACCACCCCACTCGGTGCTCATCCATGGCGCCACCGACGTACCACACAAAGACCGATTTACAAGCTACACAGAATACATGCAACACTATAGAGAAGCAAGGCGTGTCTTTTTCGCGCCTCACCCGAGTCTGAACAGGCAAGAAGCGTCGGAATACCGACAGCTACGAACGAACTGCTACCCGAACCCTGTGCACCTCCACAGAAGGTACCCACACTTATACCCGGACAATAAATGTGAGCTATGTGTAACAGGAAAGGCGTCTTAAAACATATGTTATGGGAATGCCCCAACTTATCAACAAGTTCTTCTGAGGTCCTCCGGGAGCAGTGGCGGCTTGTGCTGCTCAGCTCAGAGGTTCAAGACCACACCGAGACAAGGTCTCCCGATACCCCCTTGTGCGGTCAAGCCCGAGCCACATGCATGCCGGGACGAAAATAAAGTTTATTCAACATAGAGTTCTTAAACGTAATCAAAAGCATCATTAAACAAGTACTGTGGCTCTTATTGAACGGAATGAAACGAAAAAAACTTGATTTTAATCCCGCAAGACACGTGCTTGTAATAAAAGCTGTGCAGAAATGTCGTCCAGTGACAAAGCAATAAGCTCGCGTTGAGCAAATTCAATGCTGTTGCACTTCTCCATCATCTTTATTAGATGCGAAGTATCTTATGGTCGAGCTCAAACGGGGTGTGATGTGACCACTTTTATGGCGCATGCGCGTCCTCTTCCTCTCCTCTCCCGTGCCCCCTTTCTCTTTTAGGCTTCCCTCCATGTGGCTTTCACACCCTCATTGCGCACGCGCCCCCTCCTCCCCTACTCACCAGCTCTCTCCATATAGGCATACTTCTCTACAGTGTACTCCCATACCGCATGCGCGCCCCCTTCCCTCCTACGCTCCCCTCTCTCACCTCGCAACGCCGACGCAGGCAGCGTTGACTAGCGAGTTTCTCGATTGAAAAAACCGGCTGATCGGGCTTCACGACCGTTCACTGGCCGTACCGTATATATAGTAACACGATTTTCACTTCAAAAGATGTGCCAGTGAGAGATTTCTCATGTGTGTTGTTGAACAAACTATTGCACCATCTCCTGCAACAAAGTACGATGTATAGATGTGAAGCTGTGGTAGCGATGTTGACGCTGGCGTGGCGCCCATCGCAGCGCTGCACAGGAGAAAAACTTGAGGAGGTGTAAAGCACGCAGAATGAATCAATGTTTCCTACTGTTTATTGCCAATCGCAGATAATGTGGAATGAGCGTCAGAAGACTTTCATTGGACACATAGGTCCGCAGTCAACTTTTATTTTTATTGCTCAACAATGCGCAGTAGAAATCTTCTACCGGCATATAGTGAACTAGATATTCTACCGGCACTACCTTGGAGGTGAAGATCCAGTGGCCAGTGAACAATTGCGCAGCACGAGCAGTAAGTTTTTATAAGTGATGGTCTTTCTTGGGGTACGCTGGTGCCCAGAACCAGAAGCCTTCCAGCAGCTGAGTGTAGTTTTTCTGTTAGGCTAAGATCAATAGTGTATTATCTGTTGCTGGTGACCTAGAAGCAAGGCCAGTGCACGTTTTAGGGCGTCCTTGGTCTGGTAGTCACCCATCATGGCAAGCTAGCCACCTACGAAGGCTTTCACCTTCGGCGTTGTCGTCCCTGAGGGGACTAGTTCCGAGACGTCGTTGCCGCGACGTCTTCACTAGTATGAATCGAAGAAGTGTACTGCGTTCAGCACTTTGGAGGCCTGAACTACCAAGTTACTGCCAACAGTGAGGCCGCACTGGCCCAAATCGTGGACGCATCGCACATAGATAGATAGATAGATAGATAGATAGATAGATAGATAGATAGATAGATAGATAGATAGATAGATAAGCTCAAAGTCACCGAAGTTCGCTAAGAAATGCTTCGCATTTAAAAGCAATTAGTGCGCATATCTGAGGCAACATAACAACACGTCAATATTTTTTATGTGTGTTTTTATACTAGAAGAGGCATACGTAACTAATTCTAAGGACCGTAGCGTTTATCACGTGGCACTGAGAGTGCAGCGCTATGTTCAAAAAGGCAATCGTGTTTCTAACGCTTTGCCAAGACGACACGGTGGTGGCGCCTGCTCGTAGCTCTGCGTTCTACACCTTATCGCCTCCAAGACGGGCGCTTACACCTGTCTTTGTTTTCGAAGATAACTGCCTTATATTGCCACCAGCACGTAGTGGGTTGACAGCAAGAGCGGCTCTCAATCTGGAGAAAAAAAGAAGATCGCGTGCTTCTTCTCTGCTTGAGAGCCAGCCACGACTGACGCACCGTCCTAGTGCTAGCTACCTGGTGGTTTAATAAATCCCCCAGTACTTCTGACTCATCGTGACAAACTGGTGGAAGTGCTGGGTAGTCTCACGGATGCTGCAGACCCCCCCAGGAAGCCGCGATACGAGTCCAGTGCCAGTGAATACTCCCGTGCATCGGACCAGCCGCCGAATCAGGGGATTGCCTCCGGAAGCCGACGATACTGCTCCCACCACGTCGACAAACATGACCAGCGCTTCGGTGCAAACATCGGCAACCGGCACGGGAAGCACGACGTCGAACCGCTACACGTTGGAAAGCCCACGCGCACCGGCGACGTTCCATGGCTCGGAGCACGAGGACGTTGAGGACTGGTTGGCGGATTTCGAGCGCGTAGCCACCTTGAATCAGTGGGACGACGCGGCGAAACTGGGTCGTGTCTACTTCTATCTCGAAGACGGGGCACGTACATGGTATCAAAACCGAGAGGAACAGCTGACGACGTGGCCCGAATTCTCTCGTAGACTTCTGCAGACCTATGCCAGTGCTGATCGCCAAGAACGAGCTGAACGAGCTAATCTGGCCCGCGTCCAGCTGCCAAACGAAACTGTGACCACGTTCGTCGAAGACATGACGCGCCTCTTCCGACGGGCTGATTCAAGAATGACGGAGGACAAGAAGTTGCGTCACTTGATGCGCGGTGTCAAGGACCAGCTTTTTGCCGGCCTCGTGCGCAGCCCTCCGAAGACGGTCGCGGAGTTCTTGTCCGAGGCCGTGACAATGGAAAAAATGCTGCAGCAGCGATCCAACCAATACAACAGGCAAGTCAATGGCATGTCTACTGCCGACATTTTCACCGCCACTAGAACCAACAACGACTGTCTACGTGAACTCATCCGTGGTATAATACGTGAAGAGTTACAAAAGGCTGGTGTAACACCTCATCCTACAGT